GTCATTGTTGTTTTGGTGGGCCCAGACTGAATTTGAACCCACCACCTTATGGGTGTATGTGGCTGGCACCTTAGTCACTTGAGTCACAGGCACCGAGCCTACTTTTTTCTTTTGATAGGACTTTATTTTATTTATTTTTTAAAATATGGAACTCTTCACAAATTTGCGTATCATCCTTGTGTGGGGGCCATGCTAATCTTCTCTGTATCATTCCAATTTTAGTATATGTGCTGCTGAGCCGAGCACTAGATACCACTTTAAATGCATGCCAAAGTTTTGAAAGGTAGTGTTATAATTATCATCCAATTTTAAATAGTTTAAAGTTCTCATTATGATTCCATATTTAAATGCTATTTAAAGTATGTTTCAAGGTTTCTTTTGTTGATTTCTAATTGACCTCTAATTGAGGTCAGGGAATGTGACCTATGTGACAAATTAAGGGTCTTTGTTGAGCTTAGCTTTGTGTTCTGATAAGTAGTCAGTTTTTGCAATTGTTCTACATGAACTTGAGAATAATTTGTAATTGCTAGTGATTGGATAGGGTTCTCTACTCATACACCTACTAAATTAAGCTGGCTAGTTATACTTTCCAATCTTCCATTTACTTAGTATTTTTCATCTGCCTGACCTATTAATAACAAAATGAGGTATGTTAAAAATCTCTGTCTCTGATGACAGAATTGTCAATTTCTCCTTGAATTCTGCCTTTTTTTCTGTATATAATTGAGGCTATGCCTTAGGTACAAAAAAATTCATAATTTGTATCATCTTTCTCAAAGAATTATTCCTTTTATTATTACTGAGAAATCTTTATTACTAATAATGCTCTTTCCTTAATTTTTATTATGTCTGGTATTAATCTAACTATACCAGTTCTTGAAAAATAATTTTTGCTTGGTGTATTTTTTTTTCCCATTTACTTTGAAGATGTGTGGGTCACTATGTTTTGGGGTATATTTCTTCTGACAGTATATAATTGGGTATTTTTCTTAACCAACCTGATATTTGTCTTTTAAATAATTAATTTATTTTATTTATGTTTATCCTGGTTGTTCGTACATTTGAATTTATTTCCTTTATTTTTATTATGTGCTTTATCTATACTATACTCTTTTTTCTTTTCTACTTTGTATTGTATTGATTAATTTTCATTATTCCTCTTTTTTTTTTCATTGTTTATCTGGAAATGGTCACCTTTGACATTTTAA